AAGCAAACTGGGTTCAAAATCAAATGTGTATGTGTGTAGACAGTCAACCTGTGTGTGTGTGTGCATTCTACACAAGTGTTATTAGTTAACGGAGGTTTTGTGAATCCGCACACATTAAGGGGTCCTGCCAAGCAGATCCAACGGACCACTTTCCCACCATTCAGTGCCTATGTTTCCTTCACGAAACAACCTTCTCAACCCACATAGAATCACAGAATGTTAGAGCTGGAAGGGACCTTGCAGGTCATCTAGTCCAACCCCCTGCACTCTGCAGGAGCATAGCCGAAAGATAGCCCCACAACATACCCAAAAGATGGTCGTCCAGCCTCTGCTTGAAAATGTCCAGCAAAGGAGCATCCACCACTTCCCGAGGCAGTCTGTTCCACTGCTCAACCACTCTTACAGTTTGGAAGTTGCATACGTGCATACATAGTTGCGTGCTGAGGACTACTTCAGATTGAACACTTCTATTTAGGGGGGGAAACCAAACTCTAGGGTTGCCTAATGCCTACTTTTAAGCTGGCCCCTCTGGCTGTTCCTATTATTATCAGTTTGATCTGCAGCAATTAACAGGTGACACTCCAGATCTGCATCCTGTGAAAAGATTCAGGCGCAGATTTCTGCATATCAAATTTTTATTAAAGGGATAGGACATTTCCTACCTGACTAGTTGGTGGCCTTAGATCCTGATCAGGATAGACCAGGCTGGCCCGATCTCATCAGATCTTAGAAGCTAAGCAGGGTTGACCTTGGTCAGTATTTGGAGGGGAGACCACCAAGAAATACCAGGGTCACGATGCAGAGGCAGGCAAAGGCAAACCACTTCTGAACGTCTCTTGCCTTGAAAGCCCTTAGTGGTCGCCATAAGTCAGCTGTGACTTGATGGCAAAAAAACAACAACGTTGGTAACCTTAAATATGGCTGCAGATGCACACGTTTTGTAATGTCTGAATGTTAGTGCAAAATGAAGAGAAGGTGCCAGGAGGTTTATGATGTACATCAGATATTAAACAGACAATGGCATAAGGGCGAAAAAAATGAGTACAACAGTCTTTCAGCATTTTTTTTTTAAATGAAAAGCAGCTGCAATCTCATTCGTGGCCTCCTGGGATATTAGCTAAGTAGGGAGCAATGTTCCCTCTAAGCTGTGGAGTCTTGTGAGCAAAAATTCTATATTGTAAGCTACTGGTGTTAAAATTGTGAGCGAGGGATTTGGCTTCTGTATAAACTAGTTTGCTCTGGAGCCCTACTTCCTGAGCTAAGGCAAAAAATGTGTGAGCCGGAGTCTAAAAACCTGTGAGCTAGCTCACACTGACTCAGCTTAGAGGGAACACTGGTTGGGAGGGATACTTTAGCTATTTCAACACAGGCCATTCCTTCCTAACAATAAGCCCTCCTCTCCAATTTTGAGATATTCATTTCCTTTGGTATCCCCCCCCCCCCGTACACAACACTCAAAAAGCGGTCACTGTTTGGTCCTTGAATCTATTAAACATCTTCATTATGTTGTATGCTAATTTGCTGCTCACCCTCTACCTATACGTATGGACTGGCATTTTCCATTTCACTGTATCTGAAGAAGCGTGGGTGCACACAAAAGCTTATACCTTGAATAAAACTTTGTTGGTCTTAAAGGTGCCACTGGACTCAAACTTTGTTCCCTCCTCCCCAAAATGTTTTTGCATCTATGAAGGAAACTATACAGGTAGTTTGGTTCAGAAAAATTGCTGGAAGATAAAGTGTTAAGTCACCATTCTAGCTGCCATTTCTCTCCTTAAACTGGCAACCTTCTGAGGCTTCTTTTCTTTCTAGAAAGCAAGTAGGTGACTATTAGCACATGTCTTGTGCAGCATCTAGTTTGACTCCAATGGGGCAGAGCACAGATCCATCTGGCGAGTGACTGTCTCTTCCAAAAGCAATTCTCCATACCCTCACGTATGTGTCTTTCCCAACATTACTCTTACTACTTAAGATTTCTATAACTAGCAAAATCAGAGAATCCAGAGACAAACCGGACGAGACGCTGAAAAGCCATGATCACCTCTCCTGTCTCTTTAAATTTATTTTATAGACATCAGGAGGCAGAAGAGGGAAACTGAATCAGAAATATGGTACTGGAGGAGAGAGTTAGCCTTTCCCCTTGCACATGACTCCCGGCATGAATCTTTCCCCTCCTATCCTCTGGAAGCTACAAGTCATCCAGATGGGAAATATTCACAGGACCTGTTAGTTTTGGGAAGAGAGTATTTACATTAGGAAACTGTCATGCATGAATCCTCCTTGCTCTTACATGGTAATCCCAAATCAGGATCCCACGGCTATTCCAACATCTTGTCTTGCTGGCCTCATTCCTACTCTCTGAGGTGTGCCTTTTTGCCAGCACTCTTCACAGTTTTGACGAGGACTGGCAACATTTTCTTCCTGCTCTCTGCTACTGCGTCTGTAACAACAGCCCTGCGGGCAGGAAATTAATCTGCTAAAGGTGTTCTGCCTTACTTTCCCTCTCTGTGCCAGGAAAAAACCACACATCGCTATATATCTTTGTGTCAGGCTTCTGTTCGGGGAAGAGCACATTCCTGGATTGTCAGCGCTGCAACAACATTTCAGAGAGTAGCTCTGTTGCTCTGCAGTAAGTTAGCTAGATTCGAATCCAGTAGCATCTTAGAGACAAACAAGATTATCGAGGTATAAGCTCTCAAGAGTCAAAGCTCCCTTCTTCAGAAAAGAAACGAAAAGAGACGAAAAGAAAAGAAAAAGATCAGAAGGGTTCCCCACCAAAACCTGGCATTGCCCTGTTAA